GATTTCATGTTGAAAATAATACAGTATGTTTAACATTTTAAAGCTTTATGACTATAGCACGTAGTATAAAAGATTATAATGAATATCCCAATGTGTTGATTTGGTATCCTTTGGACAGTTTTATTTAAAATCTAGATTTCGAATTTTGAAAATAAATCATTTAAATACATATCCTTTCCGTTAATATGAATCTCAATAATCTTCGGACAGTTATCCCATAGATTATTGAGTGCTGTTTGTGTGAACTCGTCTCTACCATAGAGTCTAATGTATTGAATATTCGGTAGATTTGACACAGAATTCAATACACTGTCAGTGATCGCCAGTTCCCCAGAAATTGACATACACTGGAGTTTCGGAAAGTTTTCATACATTTGTGTAGAAAACCAATTACAAGTATTTATAATGTTATCGCTATTAAGTGCTAAATGTGTTAATCGTTTGTAGGATTCATTCATTAATAGAAACTCATCCGTAAAATGTTCACCGATTTGTAAACGAGTTATTAGTTTCACATTTGTTAGCATTTCCCGTATATTATCCATACATTTCTCATTTAAATGATCAATTTTGGTGCAAACAATATGCAGACTTTTCAAATATTTAAGTTGTATCACCAATCTGTTTAATAAATTCACAAATAATTTAAAATAATTGGTGTCAAGAGTTTGAAATGTAATTTTCAAATCAATTAATCCGTGTATTTGTGACAACCCTATGAGCACTGTTTCAATGGACTTCTCATCGCATGTCATAATTGATGAAATATCGTCGCCATAAATAAATACATCCATTGAACGCAAGCTATTTTGAAAACATTTCACAAACTTCTTAAACACATCAATGTTTTCATTATAGCAAATAAAATACATTTCCCTTAATATCGGAGTCGACACAAAACTTTGAGCCAGCAAACTCGGTGATATATCGTAAGACATTATTTTAATTGTGCGTAAAGTTTTGGCAAACTTACTAAAAAATAGTTGCCAAAGTTTGTGCCTGATATTAAAACAATTTTCAATAGTAATAGCATTCAAATCACTGCAATGATCTACAATTGACTCCATATTATGGTTATTAATAAACGTGATGTCCGTCACATGAATTTTGGTAATATGTTTGCACTTTTGAAGTATTTTGTCAAATGAATTACCATGGTATTTATACCTGTATTTGTAATTTTTATCTATTATTAGAGATGTCTGGCCAATATATACAAATCGTTGCCACTGTTTGCACAGACATTCAAATCGGAAACTCGAGTCAATTGATAGGTATCTCAATAGCACTTCACACAAGTCATCACCAAATCGGTCAAAACTGTCTTTACTATATATGTCACACATTTTTTGTCGCCTACAATAAAATACAATTAAAATTTGCTATTTCTATACAAAGGTTTAGACATTATTTTACAAAAGCTTAATAATTAGGTAACTGACATCCGGTAACAATAATTAACATAGAAAATTATATAACACTTTACTAAATCAAACAGTTAATATATAAAATAACTTATTTCAAATAATACACAAATATAAGTAGCTCTAGGTTTTTATTCAAATAACTGTAAGGTTTATATGTATTTGATTAATCTATAGTAATTTTTATTAGTTTGACAGCTTAAAAATTAAATAAATTAAAATTTTTATTTTTTCTATGATTGTAAACAACATTGACGCCTTTAAAAATATTTTGTCTACCTAGCCACTTACAGTAATGACAAAATATTTATATTTATTTACATTTTAATACTTTTCTCATTAATTAAAAGTTGTATACTATACACGTTTTAAATTCACGTGAAAAATGTTGTTAACTCATTTAAAATTGTAATATATCATACGGTATTATATAATATACTTTACATATATAATAAATGATTAAAAAATTTACACAAAACTTTTGAAATAAATTATTAATTTTTGTGACACTGTATAAATTAAAAATTGTTTTTCAATCATAAACATTGCTAACATAATAAATAATAACAATTATAATTAACTGCAATTATTTACATATTTATTAATTCACATAAAAAACACAAATTGTTTATATATTGTACCCTATGTTAGTTGATATAAAAAATATAACAAAAAATTTTGCTTTCGGATTAAATTAATTTAAATGATATTATAATAAAAAACTCATAAAATAAATGAAAATTTTTACTAATTCTTTAAAACAAGTTATTATTTTCATCCTTAAGTACATCTCTCCGCCATTTGTCGAAACCCCTCCAACCGATACACCAGTCGTACTGATCCGGGTATTTAAAGCTCATCTTATTGGCCAACACGTCGGCCGCCATATAAGGCCAGTGCGGGTTGTTTAGGAACGCCCTACCGATGAATATCAGTGTCGCGCCGTTACCCCGCAATATGGCCTCAGCCTCGTGGGGGTCGACTATTTTGCCGACCGCTGCGGTCGCTATTCCCACCTCTTTCTGAATACTTTGGGCGGCTTTCAGTTGAACCCCATTTGCGTTCAAACCGTTATAATCGATGTAAGAGACGACACCTCCAGAGCTGCAGTCAATGAAATCCATACCAATTGTCTTTAACTTCTTCGCGAAATCAATGCTTTGTTTTATATCCCATCCGTTGTCGGCGTAATCGGTGACCGAAATCCGGACCCCAATGACGATGTCTTCGGGAATACTGTTTCGGACTTTTGCGGCGATTTCGAGACCAAAACGCATCCTATTCTCCAGACATCCGCCGTATTTGTCTGTCCTATGGTTAGTAAGGGGTGATAGAAAGCTACTGACGAGCCATCCATGTGCGAAGTGAAGTTCCAACACCTGATTTGAATTAATTTATTCATATATCTGTCCGAATATCTAATGTTGGAAATCAAACTCAGATTTATGGACTGCATACGAATGTAAAGATTTTTCATTACTTGCGAGTAAAGTATAAAAGTTAATAAAGTTAAATATTGTAGCATGCAATATAATAGTTAAATAATAGTAAATAATAGTTTAATAATAGTTAAATATTGTATTGTTCAATATAAGTAGCATGCACTGCATATTAAATGACAAGTATTTATTCATTGATAAACAGTAATAAATACAAACATAAACATAGTCATAAAATACTGTAACTTAATTAACTTTTATTCTTTACTCGCAAGTAATGAAAAATCTTTAAATTCATATACAATCCAATCCAAAAGCCTTGGTTTGATTTGACAGCACAGATATGACAAACCCTTACCTCAAAGCCCGCCTCAACCGCACGTTTAGCCCCCGAAACAAAGGCTTCTTCGAGTTCGTCGATGTCGTCAATTGTGGCCTCTTTAGGCACTTTCCATACGGCGCCACCAAATGGCACAGCACTGGCACCTATGGTAGGCCACCCGCCATCCTCGTCCGCTACCGAGCCGTGTCCGACCCAAAATGGTTGACCACTAGCTTTGCGACCTCCATGCGCCAGCTGTATGCCCGGCACCGACCCCTGAGCTCTCAAGAATGTGGTGATTCTCCTCCACGGCTCGATCTGATGGTCGTCCCAAAGGCCAGTACAGCCCCGACTCACCCGACCCCTGGCCTCCACAATCGTCGCCTCCACCATCACGAGTCCGGCGCCTCCCTTCGCGAATGAGCCGTAATGTACTAAATGCCAGTCATTGGGGACGCCATCCACGGCCGAGCACTGGGCCATCGGTGCCACACATATCCTGTTCCTCAGAGTAATGCCTCTTATTTTTAAAGGACTAAAAAGTAGGGAAGACTTATCGGATGAACTCATTTTTAAAAATTGTATAAATGTTTACAAATATATTTGATAATAAAGTACACTGCTCATTAAATAAATTGTTGAAACAAATGTATAGTTAAAAAGTTGATTTTTAAAAATTGCTGATCTTAAATAATATAGCAGACTAATGAATATAACGTTAAGTTTATATTCGCATAACTGTACTGGTAAAGTTTATATACCAGTATACAGACATGTTTACTGGTTTATTCTAGAATTTGTATACGTTTGGCGCCATAAACTGTAAATTAATTTCAAAATATTTGTAAACAAAATTGACGTAAACTTGTTTTATTCTTAATGTGGCCAAGACTAGTCTATATCCATTAAAACATATAGGGTATAGGCTAGTTTTGGCCACATTGATAATAAAACAAGTTTACTTCCAAAATATAATTTGACCACCTAGCCATTTACATTAATAAGAAAATATTAATTTTTGTTCACATTTTAAGACTTTTTCTAATTAATTTAAAATTTATATATAATAGTTAAAATTAAAATTAAAATTTTTGTTAAATTACATTTTTGTAATATATAAAATTATGAAAGCTTACATAATTTACCTAAAATTGTTGAAATAAATTAATTGCTTTTTTTGTGACACTGTATAAATTAAAGTTTGTTTTTCAATGATAGACATTCCTGACGCAATTGCATAATAATTTATTTATTATAATTTTTTGAAAAACATAATATTATACGTATATTATACTGCAAACTTCAGAAACAAATATTTATAAGTCATTTATTAGTTAATCATATAAAATACTTTACTGATTAAATAATAAGTACTGTTTTTGAAAACATATTGTGACTTTAAATAATTTGAAATAAATAAATTTTAAAAATTAATTTACCGTTATAAAAATATTTTTTAATACATAATATTTTAGAAATATAATTTGTTTTAAATATGAAATTACTTTACTGGTTAATTTTATTATCAAATTATTAATACGCTTAAGATGATAATGCTACAATTATTTCTAATTGCTACATTTCTAATAGTTTTCATAATTATAATAAAATAGTTAACAAATAACACAGCTTGATTTTCTATTACATAAATACATATCCTTTCCGTTAATATGAATCCCAATAATCTTCGGACAGTTATCCCATTGACTCATGAGTGCCGTTTGTGTGAACCCTTGCCTACCATAGAGTCTAATGCAGCCAGTTCCACGTATTACAAATTATTATACCTAGTGATGTATTGACTAAAGAAAGTAAATGTGTATTTTCAACACTAGTTATTTATTCAATAATAAACATTCATAAATACATGAGTAAACACTTTTCAAATATGAATGAAATACTATAAATTTATTAATCATTGATTCATTAAAATAAAATTAGCACACCATCAAGTTTATAAAATAAAAATTACTATTAAGTTTACAATGGAAATAAATAACTAGTGGCGTGAAACATTTATAAGTTTATTAAGTTAATACATCACTATTATTATATGATTTAGATATTTGGAACTCAATGGTCTAATGCTACTCAGCACACCGGAGCCATTTGGGGCCACACTATGAGTGACAAAACTTTAAACAATTTAACATTAATCTCTATACTGACTAATGTTATAAATTATAGTCAAGTGTTTGGCCCAAGAGTCCGGATAGAACCGGTTATGATAACATAAAATTCTATACACGGTGTAAATGTAAAACATGTAATGTTTACATTAGATATGAAACACGTGACTTTATAAATTATTTATAAAATATTTTATTTATTGTAAACTTATTTTAAAGTGAAACAGGTGCTTTTATTTTAACTTTTTGGAATATTAGATCCTTTTGAATTAGATTTAATTTAATTTCAAACCAAATTAACTTAATTGTGAGCTTTATTAACTTAAGTTTGAAATTAATTAATTTAATTGTGATCGTAATTTACTTAATTACCAATAAAATTATTTAAAATAATCACTAATTAACTTTGAATCCTAAACTTGATTAAATTTCAAGAAACTAGTAAGATTGAAAGTACAATTTAGTTAATTTAATCCATAATTAACTGAATTTTGATCACAATTAAGTTAATTTAAATCAAATTTTAATAAATTAATGTCAAATTTAAGTTAACTTAGCTCACAAGTTAATTCACCTAATAATTAAGTTAATTTAGTTCATTAATTAAATTAATTAATTTAACATTTAAATTATTTTAGTTCACAATTAAGTTAATTTGGTTTAAAATTAAATTAAGTTAATACAAATATTAGGGAATATACTGTCAATTTAATATATCTCATAGAAATTTTTATGGTGTCTACACACTGTATTACTTTCTAATAAATAATAAAAAGGATTAGTGCCAAAGACTTGACTATAGTTATAATAGTCACTGTTAATGTGGCCCGGATTATAATGTATGCGCATCGTAGGTCTAATGTATTGAATATCTTGTAGTCTTGACACATAATTCAATACACTGTCAGCGATCGCCAGTTCCCCAGAAATTGTCAAATACTGGAGTTTCGGAAAGTTTTCATTCAAAATGATTATAATCAAAACACAATAATTACTACATGATAATCATGAATAAATATAACTCTTGTATAATTATGCCTCATAACTTGTTAGTTATAAAATTGTTCACTTAGATTTTTCATTTATATTCAATACTGACTGAATGACTTCAACGATTTGATGTTAATTTTAGTTTTGAAAATAAATTATTTAAATCAATATCTTTTCCATTAATATAAATCTCAATAATCTTCGGACAGTTATCCCACAGATTATTGAGTGCTGTTTGTGTGAACTCCTCTTTACCATAGAGTTTAATGTATTGAATATTCGGTAGTTTTGATACATAATTAAATACCATGTGAGTGATCGCTAGTTCCCCCCAAATTGACAAATACTGGAGTTTTGGGAACTTTTTATACATTTGTTCAGAAAACCAATTATTTATAATATTATTGCTATAAAATGTTAAATGTGTTAATCGTTTGAAGGATTCATTCATTAATAGAAACTGATCGGCAAAATGTCCACCGATTTGTAAACGAGTTATTAGTTTCACATTTGTTAGCATTTCCCGTATATTATCCATGCATTTCTCATTTAAATTATCAATTTTGGTGCAAACTATATGCAAATGCTTTAAACATTTAAGTTGTGTCAGCAATTTATTTAATAAAACCACAAATATCATGAAATATTTGCTATCATGACTTTGAAATTCAATTTTCAAATGAATTAATCCTTGTATTTGTGCCAACCCTAAGAGCACTGTTTCAATGGACTTCTCATCGCATGTCATAAGTGTGGACATGTCGTCGCAGACCATAATCACATCCATTGAACGCAAGCTATTCTCATAACTGTTCACAAACTTTTTAAACACATCAATGTTTTCATTGTAACAAATAAAATACATTTTCCGTAATTTCGGAGTCGACACAAAACTTTGAGCCAGCAAACTCGGTGATATATCGTAGGACATTATTTTAATCGTGCGTAAAGTTTTGGCAAACTTAATATAAAATAATTGCCAGGGTTCATACCTTATATTCCAGCAACGTTCAATAATTACATAATTTAAATCATTGCAATGATTTACAATTGACTCCATAGCCTCGTTATCAACGCACATCATATTTGTCACATGAATTTTGGTGATATGTTTGCACTTTTGAAGTATTTTGAGAAATGAATTACCATGGTATTTAAACCTATATTTGTAATTCTCGTCGATTATTAGAGATGTCTGTCCCGTATATACAAATCGTTGCCACCGTTTGTACAGACATTCAAACCGGAAACTCGAGTCAATTGATAGGTATCTCAATAGCACTTCACACAAGTCATCATCAAATCTGTCAAAACTGTCTTTACTATACATTTCACACATTTTTTGCCCCTCTATAATGAAATTGAAATAAAAATATGTCTTTTCTATAAGATTCGTAAATATCATTTTATAATAGCGTAATAACTAAGTGACTCACATTATTTAACAAAATTAGTGTAGAAAATAATATAAAGTTTTTTAAATCAAACAATTAATACATAAATTTTACCGATCTCAAATAATATTTGAACAAAAATAAATGCAACACTAAGTTTATATAACCGTAAGGTTTATATAAATTTAAACAGATATGTTTATTTGGTTTATCTAATTTCTTATAAGTTTGAAGCTAAATAACATTAAATTAATTTAAAATTTTAATTTATTTAGTGATTATAAACAACATTGACGTCTTTGAAAAAATATTTTGATTATATCGCAACTTACTTATGACAATATATCACTTTTTATTTACATTTTAATACTTTTCTCGTTAATTAATAAGTTATACTCTGAATAATAGTTAACATTCAACTTACAAATTTTGTTAAAATAAATTTAAAATTCTAATAAATCATACCAATATTATATAATATATTGATATCTTATATATACAGCATATTAATATATTTACAGAAAATTGTTGAAATAAATTATTGGTTTTTTATGACACTGTATAAATTAAAGTTTGTTTTTCAATGATAAACACTGCTGACGAAATTGCATAATAAAATATTTTATAGTTTTTAAAACTACCTTGTATATTACTAGTACTGGGTCATGTGAATTATAATACAATATTAATAAAAGATTACCGTTTTATTTTTATGTATAAATAATTTTGATATATACATGGTAAACATTTATATCATAGTAATTTAAATATTTTAATAAACAATATACATGTTTACATGGTAAACACTGCCGGCCTCATAAAGTTAGCTTTTCATTGAGCAGACAATATATGGCATTAATGTATACAATAATAATATTTATTAATAGAAAATTTTAGAAATTATAACTCTACATTAAAATTAAAAACTAAATTATGAAATATTGACACTTAATTTTGATGATAAATTTAATTTTATAATTAACTTGATTTTTTAATATTATTTTTGGTAAATTAATAAATTTAAAAACTTTTGAAAACAATACACACTGTAAATTGA